AGGAACACGCCTTGGGAGACATGGCAATCTTATACAACAGTGGATTACAGATGGCCACATAACGATCATAGGCCATTGATGTTATGACATAACACTCAGAAATGACACAGAAACAAAATAGGTAGAACTGGGTCATACATCCTACATAGGAGATAAAATTTTCCTTTAGTATGAAGCTCATTAACATTTTTGGTGTAATTACAGAAGAGTAACAAAAATCTACAAAGGATAAGTTAAAAAGGAAAAAATACATAGGGGTGTGGAGGTGAGAATTCAGCACAATGAGAATTATTAGAGCCAAGTTCCCTAATGTCGTTATCATGTACATTCCTAGAAAGAGTAGGAACAGTGGTATTTGGAGATTGGACTGTCCTGTTAGCCCCAAGAGAATAAATTCAGTTACCACAGAGACATTTGCCACAGCCATTTCCTTATAGGACATCCTGTGAAACAAAAATAAACGGTGATATTAGAGAATCATGCAATACTTACCACGATTGTTTAAAAAAACTGCAAGCAGGGCTGTCATTTTCTATGGTGACTGCATTGGAAATAAAGGAGAAAAAGAAAAGTACGATGCCCATAACAGCACTGCCCTTATTTCAACTCAATATTTTTGTTTCATCTCCTTTCCAATACAAACAGAAACTCTAGTAACATGTTTTTACAATCCATCCTGAATGAACTCTGGTGCGTTTGAATCATGAACCCTGTTTCAAATATAAACCAAAAGAACCAGAATGTAGGAATAATGAAGAATTCTGCTCCAGTCCTGTGTGATTTTATATAATAACTGCACACACAAAGTGAACATGCTAATTTAAGCATCACAACACAGGTATCTACCAACTGTGAAAAGGACTCTGTTTGCTTCCCTGAGACATCTATCTAGAAATTTCCATTGAGCTGTAGGACTTTAGAAAATTATAAGAAAATGGAACAACTCTAATCCTTGGACTGTATCAGTGTGAAGTCACTATGTAAAAAAAAAACACATATTTTGGACTCTTTGTGCAAAATCAGTTAAAATCACACAAAAGAGAGTATAAACCTGGCTGCTAAAATGCAGGTAGTGAAAAAGAGATGATATGGGTCAAAATGTAATAAAAATTCAATTATCTAAAATGATAATTTCAAGACTTTGATGGTGTTAATGAAAATTAGCTATGTCACATTGTATATCCAAATTTCCTAACAAGATACAACATAAACTAGTGTTCTCATTACATATGCATGCATAAAAGGTTCCCAATAACAAAGAAAGCATGTACAATTTAACTTCATTGAAAAGTTATTTCACAATAATTTGAAAACAAGAAATTACACACACATACACACATATATAATGGGTATATATATATACATTATATATATATATCAAGTTGATTTAAAGATCAAGAAGGTAATATGGCTGTTTTAAAGCTTATCTAGACCTTGCCATTGTTATTTACTGCTTAGATTCTTGATGTAAAATTTCAAGCTCTGTGGCATTGATTCTCTTTTGTCCTACGAGTTGTGTCACAGCAAATGTTGTAATTCTCAAAACTTGTTTTCATAGTTTTCAGTGGTAATCTTTAGTTCACTAAAGTATCAGAGGAAAGTGAGAATTTTATCTATTATCATAAGAGCCACTGAGAAAACAGACACTTCAGATGAGTTTAGTGACATAATGCACTTGACTATATGCAAAGCAGAAGCTTACTCAATAACTTCCCAGAAACAGACAGCAGATATAGAGCATGAGCCAGTAGCACTTTCATATTACACTGAGGTGGGAAATTCAGATCGTGGAGATTTGAGTCATGCACACAGTTCTCTATGGAGATTGTACATTTTTTGTACTTGAGCCAATTTTGAACTCTCATCTTCTAATCACTTCCATCTCTTCAGGGACAGCTATTGTTTTTGTTTTTCTTTCATTGTTCATAGTCTACTGATAATGCTACCAACAAGCCAATAACTATTTTGATGCAACATATATCGATGAATATAGTAACATAATTTAGGCATTGTCTCTTAGAACATTTCCCTCAAATCAATTAAAAAAAATGGTCCTCTAGAAGTTGATCTAAGCACTTCATATGCACTAGGCAAGTACTCTATCACCAAACTAATTTCCTCAGCCTTCAAAATCACTGTTTTTATACTTTCTATAAATTTCTGCTTGAATGTCTCTCTTACTATCCTTAAACATAACATGTTAGTGATTGACTCAACAATTTCTACACCTGTTGTAGAGCAGAATGAGGGCTAAAAACTTAAAATGTGTATATTATTCATCTCCCCTACACTTCCTTACTGTGGTAGTTTTGAGTGGTATTTGAATATCGCTGTGCTTTGGGGTTTGTTTTGTAAAATAGGAATTGTCAGTGTAAACCATCTTTCACTGCAATGTTGCAGTTATTTAGAAAAATAAAGGGAAAAGGATCAACTAATATTCTGCCTATACAAAAATAGTTAAATATCATCTTTGAGTATATGTGCTCTTAGACCTATGAAAAGGCTCTGTGTAACTCAGGCTGGCTTCAAACTTGTCATATTTCCTACCTCCATCTTTTTCAGGAAAACCTACTTGACAGTACCACCACAACTGGCTCTGTGCATGTTAATTCATTACTATTTGATACTATCCCACATTGAAATACTTTTAAAATGCAAACAAAAATGAGTATATCAACACACCAGAGATTACCGGCTAAGGACGGAATGTATTAAATGTGTACAAAGCAGCTTCATGTTGGAATTATGTATAAATAAATACCAGAGATGAATGCTGCACTGGTATTAGTTACTCAAGTAAGACTCATTTTGAAACATACTTGCAATATCTATAAAATTGTAGAAGAAATATAACCGGGGAAACGTCATCCTATGTTTTACATTTATTTATTTGTTATACACAAAGCCCGTTGTTCAAGTCACTACCTAATGAGGGGTATTGAGTACCAGCCTCATTGCCCCCTCAGGCTTCAGAGGGAATGCTATGACAAAGACAGGACCTAAAAAAATATATGAGAGTGAAATGAATTCTGAACTATGTACTTCCTTTTCCGCATGTTTCTTTATTGTTATGCTTTTATTCTCCTGCTTTTCTTCAAAGTTTCCAGTTTATATACACTTCTAGTCAACAATTCCCTGGCTCATTGCAACACAGGGTTCCAAGGATAGAGGAGTAGGATCGGGTGAGGGGAGGCGTAGTACCCAGTGATAAACTTTGAGACAAAAATATACTGTCAGCAGTATGGGCAAGTTAAGAATTGGCATGGCCTGTGTAATAACATGGTAGACATCTGTGACTCTGAACTTCTGTATAGCAGTAAAGGTTTCCTTTTACAAAATACCTTTAGTCTAGTTGAAATTGTTCTCAGGTGAAAGTGAACTAATTGTGTGCAGTATTTAAAGGAGCAAAATATGTTTTTTAAGTGTCTACAGTCCTCATGGGACAATAGATCTAATAATTAATATATTCTAGTGTATTTTCTATCTATCAATTATACAGTTAAATGAGACACCATCTTTCTGACCATCCATGGATATATGTGGCCATAAGATTGAGATGCAATCATGAAATTACATGTACACATTACTTGAAAATTAATAATAATAGGGAAATATCATAGCTGTTATTGCACTAATGTAATTACAGATGAAGGCAACAGTTTTTAGAGTAAGTGGCCCTTCTAGCTCTTCTGGGTAGGGTTCCTCCATCTAAGAATACTTTCTCTTGTCAATTGGCATCAGATTTATCAATTACTCTAAGCTGCAATTGTGTTATGACTGTCAATGTTTAGTATATTGAGTAAAACATGAATTTTCTATCAAGCCTGTAACAAATTCTCCCAATTCCAGTACTCAGAAAAGTAAGGCCTGAAGATGGTTTCCAGGGCTGTTTTTCTTGCTTATAAACTATATCTTTCAACTAGTGTTTTGCTCAGTTAGCAATGAAATACTCCAATTATGGAAAGAGAACCCAAATATGCTACTGGCCTGGAACAACAGGTTGTTGTTTAGTGACAAGGTTCTTATGAGGAGGACCATAAGACAAGAATATAAAAAAATATAAAATTTTACAATATGCCCTTCTTTATTCTTTTTCAATCTCATGGTCTCTTTTTTCACTAATATTATGTAAATATGTATGTCTATGCACATATATTCCTAAACATATCCTAGCAGAATGTATAATGTTACTTTATAAGTATATTTTCAGTGCAGTCTAGTTGATAGTAGATAACTAATTTGAGTACTCTCCTCTGAAGAATACTCTTTCTTCCTCTTCCAGCATTCTTTAGTTATCCATCTGCGGACTTTACACCTTTTATTTTACTTTATATTTTAGGAATTTAGTTATCTAGTGTGGAGCATAACTAAATTATAACACGTTATAAAATAAATGTGCATATCTTTGTCTTTGTGAGTCTATATTGGTATTAAAAAAGATATAATTAAAATTTCTTTGGCAGTTGGATACTATAAAATGCTAAAATTGTATAAAATTTTCACTATGTTTACATAGAAGTCATTTTCAATCTGTTTAAATAAGTAAATGTGTGAAGAAATCAATATAGACTTCCTCATATCATAATCAATAAATTCTTCTTTCAGATCTTAGCAACTCATATAGTAAGAAGCTCCCTATACTTGAATGTGCTTACAGAGTTAAGAAACGGTGCCACAGCACATTTAATTATATATGTACCTATTAAATCAAAACAGGATTTGAAGTCACTGTGTGTGTTCGTGTTCTGTCTAGATCATAGCATTTGAATTCAGATAAATATGAGTTTCTCTGAGATTAAGGGTTAACAAAACTAAAAATAATACAGAACACTCTACAATGGCTATTCTGACTTCATCACCCTTCCTGTAGTGTTTACGTCCTCATGGCCATTGCAATTAACACTGGCTCTGTGACACAGTGGCAGCTTACTTGTGGAAGTGATCAATTAATTAAATTCATAGTTTTTTTTATTAGTTCATTATTTTTTTATTTTATCTAATAATCTTACACTTATTTAGTTTACTGTGGCCCTGGAACTTCATGCAAATTGTCAATTTGCTGCTACAGACCCTCAGGTCCACACATTTCCTTTTTAACATCCTCATTTTCATTTATAAACAGTCTTGTTTTTTAAAATTTCATACAAGTTTATTTTAATATAAATTTATTTAAGTCACTTTGGGCCCAGCATGTCCTTGGGTTTCACCCACTCATCAAACTGCTCCGCTGTGAGGTAGCCAAGCTCAACGGCCGTTTCCTTTAAGGTGGATCCTTTCTTGTGTGCGGTCTTGGCAATCTTCGCTGCCTTGTCATACCCT